ACTCTCTCTGGAATAATCTATCATTCTCACCCAAAGAAACATCAGGGCTTCGATTTTTAATGCGCTGCAAAACCGCCACTTCTATCGAGTAAATACAGTCTAATTATTAACCCGTTGTCACTATTGATCAACTTTCTTCTGTAGATATTGCGAGGGTCGACGGCGCGTACTCCTTGATCACGTACACGAAGGCTACGAAAACGATTGGTGGGAGTACAACGAAGAGATGAAGTTCGCAAAATGATGGGCAGGTTTGCCGGTTGCCGACGACTGATCCTCAATAACACTAGCGACTACAAGTCAGAAAGATATGATCATGTTGCCGTCGTCGTCGGCATCGTAATTTGTGGCCACATCGATTAACCTAGCACCTTTGTGACCAGCACAATGTTCCGTTCAGAAATATATGAACTCGAGCGTCCCGCTCGCCACGAAATGATCCTGTCATCATTCATTGAGTTCTGTTGGCAGGTGGCAGAGAATATCAGTAAAGATGCTTGCCTTCCACTGGCATTTTCGTCGACAGCCGGTAGAATTGGCAGAAAGCAAAAGCCCTTCGGCTCTCACCGATTCAAGAGGAGGGTTTTTTTTTAGCCCGTTTACGCGGCAGAAAAGAACAAGTTAATAAAATGTTACATGTGTTCTTAACGGGCATCAAAGAACATACGGAATATCCTTACTTTTTGACCATCGACCATAGCCAGCAGTGATCATCAGTGGTATTCTCCACTTGGCTAAGTAGCAGAATCTGCTGGCCATAGCTATTACTACAACTTCTACTATTTCTATATAGATTTCTTTACATAACTAGTTGGCAAAGTAGAAACGGTTACACGGTTGACTGCACCGGCCAGTTTTCATTATACGTGTACTTGCCCAAACAAACATGTTGCCTTGATAAAAATCCATTGGCTTTGTGTGGTCTTGGGTAGCGGATGGAAATGGCCGGAATAAAGGAACAGATCACTACATGACTGAGAATTGTTACTTCCTTCTCCGTGATTATGGTGATAATAATCCATGATATTATCATTAATTGATAAGAATGTCCAAGTCTATTACGGTGATAAGAAATAATGATTATAATAGCGATGATAGTATTGTAGTGGTTGAAGTATGAAGAATAAATAGACATTGCGAAAAACTTTATTATTTAGCGCATTGAGAATTGTGCCGTCGTTGTGAATGCAGAGAATGCTCTCGACCGCTGAGTGGGCTACTGGCCAAACGGGAAGTGGCTCATATTGATAGTGGTCAATGAATGAAATTCAGATGAAGCGAAACCTGGGAGCCACTACGACTAATGAGAAAAGATTGTAGCCAGGGAAACCCACGTTTCAAGAAGTGCGCGAAGAAATATTTTGTACAGCTCTAAAGCGATTCTTGGTAGACTGTAGAGAACATGGACGTGTCGAGTCGATTTTTTGGGGTGATATAAATACAAAAATCGACTCGACACGTCCATGTTCTCTACAGTCTACCAAGAATCGCTTTAGAGCTGTACAAAATATTTCTTCGCGCACTTCTTGAAACGTGGGTTTCCCTGGCTACAATCTTTTCTCATTAGTCGTAGTGGCTCCCAGGTTTCGCTTCATCTGAATTTCATTCATTGACCACTATCAATATGAGCCACTTCCCGTTTGGCCAGTAGCCCACTCAGCGGTCGAGAGCATTCTCTGCATTCACAACGACGGCACAATTCTCAATGCGCTAAATAATAAAGTTTTTCGCAATGTCTATTTATTCTTCATACTTCAACCACTACAATACTATCATCGCTATTATAATCATTATTTCTTATCACCGTAATAGACTTGGACATTCTTATCAATTAATGATAATATCATGGATTATTATCACCATAATCACGGAGAAGGAAGTAACAATTCTCAGTCATGTAGTGATCTGTTCCTTTATTCCGGCCATTTCCATCCGCTACCCAAGACCACACAAAGCCAATGGATTTTTATCAAGGCAACATGTTTGTTTGGGCAAGTACACGTATAATGAAAACTGGCCGGTGCAGTCAACCGTGTAACCGTTTCTACTTTGCCAACTAGTTATGTAAAGAAATCTATATAGAAATAGTAGAAGTTGTAGTAATAGCTATGGCCAGCAGATTCTGCTACTTAGCCAAGTGGAGAATACCACTGATGATCACTGCTGGCTATGGTCGATGGTCAAAAAGTAAGGATATTCCGTATGTTCTTTGATGCCCGTTAAGAACACATGTAACATTTTATTAACTTGTTCTTTTCTGCCGCGTAAACGGGCTAAAAAAAAACCCTCCTCTTGAATCGGTGAGAGCCGAAGGGCTTTTGCTTTCTGCCAATTCTACCGGCTGTCGACGAAAATGCCAGTGGAAGGCAAGCATCTTTACTGATATTCTCTGCCACCTGCCAACAGAACTCAATGAATGATGACAGGATCATTTCGTGGCGAGCGGGACGCTCGAGTTCATATATTTCTGAACGGAACATTGTGCTGGTCACAAAGGTGCTAGGTTAATCGATGTGGCCACAAATTACGATGCCGACGACGACGGCAACATGATCATATCTTTCTGACTTGTAGTCGCTAGTGTTATTGAGGATCAGTCGTCGGCAACCGGCAAACCTGCCCATCATTTTGCGAACTTCATCTCTTCGTTGTACTCCCACCAATCGTTTTCGTAGCCTTCGTGTACGTGATCAAGGAGTACGCGCCGTCGACCCTCGCAATATCTACAGAAGAAAGTTGATCAATAGTGACAACGGGTTAATAATTAGACTGTATTTACTCGATAGAAGTGGCGGTTTTGCAGCGCATTAAAAATCGAAGCCCTGATGTTTCTTTGGGTGAGAATGATAGATTATTCCAGAGAGAGTCAACATATCTATGGATACCGACCTATCCATAATCCGTTTGACGGTAAAGCTGTTTCTGTCCTTTTAGATTCCTTTAAAAAAGATAGGCGTTAATGGAAAAAGGACAATTTAGGTAAGTGTTGAAAAACCTTTTAATATTAAATGTGTGTTAGTGGAAAAAGGACAATTTAGGTAAGTGTTGAAAAACCTTTTCTATAATATCTGTAAATGATATG